GCTGATTTAAAATCCAACAATCAAATAATTCCTAGATTTATTTTCATAATTTTCACGACTCGCACATGCATGTGATGTCCCCAGTGCAGCAGGCAAGATTGGAATATGGAAAAGCTTACATTCAGCATAGAAATATTGCATTATATTGATTTTGTCAGGAAAAAAGATCTGAGCACTGTTGTGTAAGTTGTGGCTTTACTTTACTCTGGCATTACATCCCACCCACATCCCTCTGATCAGCATCTGGTACATTATATTACTATAATTAAAAATCTTTTTGGAAAATTAAATAGTTTCTTACAAGCTTATGTGATTTGATAAAACACACAATTAAATATAATCGTATATGGGCAACGGAGAAATTACAATTAGCTTCAAGCTACACATACTATAATTAAAAATCTTTTTGGAAAATTAAACAGTTTCTTACAAGCTTATGTGATTTGATAAAATACACAATGAAATATAATCGTATATGGGACTATCAATCACTAGAATTTTATGTGGAAGATACACAGTTACAACTTCTGTCGGGCGTGAAGAAAAAGTAATTAGTAGTGTAACTAATTACCGTTGCCAGAAAGTAATAAGTAAAGTAACAATATTACTTTTGAAATGAGTAACTAGTAATGAGTAATATATTACATTCTTTGAGTAACTAGCCCAACACTGTTAGACAGACATATAAATCATATATTTAAGACAAGTTTGAACATTTGAATTTATTTAGCTGGACTTTTGACTTTAAAAAAAGTTTAAATATACATACTTTACATGACAGCAGACAAATACTTTTGAACTTCAGAAATATGTTCAGATTTTTGGGCAAGGAAGATAAATAGAGTAATGGGATGATAGATCTATTCTATTTATCTGGAATGACACTTTGTGTGCCACCCCCTTCCCACAACACTCTTCAAGGGTGCAAAAAAAGGCATTAGGACTTTTCTCAGTCAGTCTATGCATAGGTGGGGATATTTTTTCTGGGACTATTTCTGCAGGTTACATTGTAACATAATTAGGTGGAGACAAGTCTTTATGAGTGAGTCATTGACTCATTCACTTAACCAATTTGTTCAAAACGGATTCATTCATGAATGAAACTCACTGAAACGTTCTTTCTATCTTTCTTTAAAGAGGTGGTTCAGTGGTTTTTTTCTAGGCTTGATTGTGTTTATGGGGTGCAGAAGAAGAAAAAAGTAGGATGGGATCTGATTGTGATTGGATGGTTAAAAAAATGAGCATTACATACCAGTGGATTGTGAAAGCCTAGTCCCTTCTTGAAAATCCATCGGCATCTGGGTGGAGGGTGGAGTTTTTGGTGGAGTTTTTGACAGTGATGTGGATAACGCTTCAGTGTAATGGTAATGCTTCTTTTAAAACTTGCAATTTGCTAGTGTACAAAAGTTATTTCTGGTTCACAATTTTGATTGAGTGGTTTGTATCAATCTGCGTTTGCACGTACAATTGAATTCCAATTGGAAGTTCTGTTTCTGCTCACTCAATTTGGGAAGGCTCTTTACTGTACCTCACATGAGAGCAGACAAATGCTTCTGAAATATATTGACTGATTGATTTTCCTTATTAGAGTCAATGTGAACAAGCTAAATATTACTTTCAGTTTCAAATAGTTCTGAACTTTAAAAAAAAACTTACATATTACTAAATTTACTTTATAAAAAAACTAAATAAAATATAATCACTTTTCCATTACATACAAAACTGAACTATTTTAATAGCTGAAACAGTAGTATAAGCTTTTTTTGGGAAAAGGGGGAAAAGACTGGCTAGGGCCTATATTTGAGACCCGTGCAGGGCTCTAATCCACTTCATCCAACACTGTTTTGTTCTCATCTGTGAGCATGCTCTTGATATATGTATTTTACCGTTTTGTTCCAAATGGTAACAAAATTTGTTACCATCTTGTTACAAATTTTGTAACACAACATGAAAGAAATCCATTATAACATGTACATGAAAATGTAGAAACATTGGACACAACTATGGAGCACCATTGTGCAACAGGAAGCATCACAACAAAATTCACTAAATCCGCCCCTGGTTAATCCAGCAGTATTTAACAGGAGTATGAAAAGGCCATATACATACCTCATTTGACAGGGTACAAATATTTTTGAACTTAAGAAATATTTTTGGAAGAGGGATACATTGACAGGATGAGAGATGTGAAAAAGGGGGAGAATATAAGGGAAAACAATGTAATTTTCTATTTAACTGGAATGAAACTTTGTGTTGTGCCCCCTTCCCTATTTCTGCAGGTTACATTTTATCATTGGGTGGCAACAAATGACTGTCTTTATGAGTGAGTCACTGAATTCACGAGTGAGTCATTCACTTAATCACTTCATACAAAACACTGATTTATTCCATTCACAAATGAAACTCATGATTATTAATAATCTTTATTTCTTTCTTTCTTTCTTTCTTTCTTTCTTTCTTTCTTTAAATAAAAGGATTTGTAATGTATTGCAAAATAAAACAGTAAAAGTAAACTCTTTTTGTTGTTGTTGTCTTTGGAGTATTTTTTTATAGTTTAATGTGTGTCCGATTAATATATTTTACCACTACACCCCCAACCCCTTAGGTTCTCATTCTGAGCGTGAGTTCAGCTCAGTTGTTAATATTTCATGTGCCCTTTGAAGCAAGGCAGTTAAGAGCACTCAGGATAATCAAGCTCAGCTGAAGATGAATTCTTGCTCTGTGCCACCTGCGACAGTAAAAGCTTCACACTGGAATTTAGGGTAAAGGGCAGAAAGCCTGTGTGAAGTCACACTGATGAAGTTTACATATTATCCTTTCTAAATAGTACACACAATTAGAGTTAGTAAGTTGAAAATAATGTGCTAAAGATACCCGGATGCTTTATTATTTCTGGTGGATTTTTGAAGTGTGTATCTGTGCATGCTTTTTTTGGCTGATAATACCCAAAATCCCTTGTGCAACAGAAAACATTTAGTTTCTTTAGAATTCTTTAGTGTAAAAAGTTGTGATGCCTTTTGAAATAACACATCAACTATAGCTATGCTAACATAAAGAGTATGTGATAGAGGTTTGTGGTATCAAGACACATTTAGATGTGATATAATGGCGTGTTATTAGATACTAAGCAATAATACATTGACTACCAACAACACAGGGCTCAAACTGACTGCTTTAATCACAATTAGGTCATTTGTGAAATATGCCTATGCTAACACCATAGCTTCAAGATATAAAGCAGTAGAGTATTCCAGTAGTAAAACATAATGTTTACTAAAAAAAAGAAAAAAAATATATATATGTTTTTATAATACTTATTTTTTACACTTCATAGCTAAACTTTTTTTTGTTTTTTTAAATATGTGTTAGTACATCCTATTATGAGAAAAGACAAGATATTATACAACAAAAATACAAAGAGAGAGAGCTTTTATTTTTACAGCTTCAATTTTTGTCCAGTGTCTCAAAACATAAAAATAAATACAGCTATGTCATAAGAAATCCAGTGTCTTTTGTGATAAGAAATTATTTCGAACACCTGCAAGTCTTTTTCACTGCTGCTTCTTTGGAATATGAACCGTGAACTGTCACTTAATTACTAAATAAAACACATTCATTTTCATTTCCTTGAGTCTATGGGGTTTTTCTTCACAGTTCAAACGTTATTAAACATCGCCACTGAATATTGTTAAAGTCGAACAGTATTTTTAATAGACTTTTAGTCTTGTGTTTTGGGACTACAGCACCATAGAAGCCCAAATTATTTACTAAGTACAAAACATTTTTGATTTAACCACATTGGATAAAAATAATCTTGCATCAAATGTTATTAAAACGCTTTTCAATATACAAATGGCCTTAAAATATTACAATTTCAAAACAACAACAAAAAATATACATCTACACAGTAATTACATGAGGAAGGTATTAGTTAAGAGACGGATCTCTTCTATGAAGACGGGCCGAGCCGGGCACTTGGTGAAAATTTCAGTTTCAATTTATGCTTCGTAACCAGAAAATGTCTCTACACAGTTCCAGCCTTGTGTGATCGTGTGCACAATTGCACAGTTTTAAGAAGCACTATTGGTAAAATGTACAAAATTACACAAAGTCTTATGTGTCTCTTCAAGTCCACCTGTCACTCGGTCAGAGCGTGCCATTCGGCATGCTGGGAGGGTTGTAGTCCCACATCTAGTGGTTTGGCACAGTTTCCGTAAATCCTCGCTGACCACGTCTTGCATATTTACATACATTCCCTTTTCTTTCCTTATCATTCGTTTAACAGGCAGATGTCTGCAGTAATACTATTCTCCAATGGAGCCTGGACCCCAGGGAGACACTGGAGAGCAATGTGCGCCTATAGGAAGGGTCTTTGGGTAATTCACCTTCACTTTCCACCTTCCTCCCACTGTCAAGGCTCCTCACGAGGGCAGAAGTTCCTCAGGTTTCCTGCTGGGTCAGATTGATGTTTCATTACTGCCGCTGTAGTGAGCAGAAAGGGAGAGAAAAGGAAGGAGGATACATGCGGGTTAGGAGGGTGTTCGGGAAGGAGTACAGGCCAAGTACAGCAGCCGCATGCCACATGAACAACAGGTGTAAAGAAGACATTCTTTGTTTTCGGCACACATGCTCCAGCAGACACAAAGAGCTGAACAGAATCAGAGTGCTCAGGTTTCAAAAACATGCAAAAATAAATGCCAGTTCATTTTAAAATGTGTTATTTTATCTTCTTTTTAAATATATAATGTAGAGATGTCCGGTACCACTACTTCGGTACCAAGTTGGGAAAAAAAGTAATAATACCCAGTCGCTGCGTAAAAAAATTATGATATTTACATTAGTAATTATTATTCTCCAGGAAGAGCAGTGAAATGTCATCTAAAATAAGCTTCTATATCTTTATACCAAGAATGATTTGTAGTTTTTTTTTTCAGTAGCACTTTACTACGGAGCCCCACACATGGCATGCAGGAAAAAAATTGTAGGCTATTTGTATACTATTTCGTTCCCGCGATTTATAAATTGTGTGCACGATTTACTAATTCATTCCCTCGATTTGCTAAGTCGTGCACACGATTTAAAAAAATCGAAAGAACGAATTAGTAAATTGTGCACACGATTTAGCAAATCGAGGGAACGAAATAGTAATCGTGTGCACGTTTTAGTACATCGAGGGAACGAATTAGTAAATCGAGGGAACGAAATAGTAATCGTGTGCATGTTTTAGTACATCGAGGGAACGAATTAGTAAATCGAGGGAACGAAATAGTAATCGAAATAGTAACCGTGTGCACGTTTTAGTACATCGAGGGAACGAATTAGTAAATTGAGGGAACGAAATAGTAATCATGTGCACGTTTTAGTACATCGATGGAACGAATTAGCAAATCGAGGGAACGAAGTAGCAATCGTGTGCACGTTTTAGTACATCGAGGGAACGAATTAGCAAATCGAGGGAACAAAATAGTAATCTTGTGCACGTTTTAGTACATCAAGTGAACGAATTAGTAAATCGTGCGCACAATTTATTTATTTTTTCTTGCATGTCATGTGTTGCATGGGCTCCGTACTTTACAATACTTTATTCACTTTTAAAACATTTCACCCATTTGTTTTTTGATGCATTATCCATATTGGTATTGAGAGTTGTGGAATTTCACTGATATTAGTATCAAATACCACATATTTGGTGTTGGGACAACCCTAATGCATTTTATAATCAATTACTAAATTCTAGGGATGCACCGATACTGAGCTCCTGTACTCGTACTTGAGCGCGCGGCGGCGCAGATGCGCGAGCTTGTCGAGTGAATACTTTCTCACAGACATCACTGGAAAGTTGATAGTTTGGTCGGATGTGTCAAAAACAAGTAAGTAAAACAATGCACAAGTTACTTAATGGTAGGGAGAGAGAGCGAGAAAGTAAAGTTAACCAACTAACATTATACATACTCTTTTGGTTTCTGTACCCAATATTTAAAACATTTACAAATGCAATAAAAATATCGGTATCGGTACTCGGTATCGGCAAGTACCAAAAATAAAAGTATCGGTATCGGGCGAGTACTGGAAAAAGTGGTATCGGTGCATCCCTACTAAATTCTACTACTAAAATAATTATTTTATTTTTGTAATAGTAAAGAAAGAAAGAAAGAAAGAAAGAAAGGGTTTGGATGCAGCAAAATGGGGTGTAGAAAAGCGTCTTACTCAGAGTCTGACTGGTTGCCGCCATTAACAGTTCCTGATCTCAGATTCAAGGCCATGCCGTTCTCCTGCTCTCGTGGTGGGACGGCCAGCTGATGAGGGGGCTTGATTAGGACGTTGTGGCCGTTGCCCCCATCATTAGAAGCTAAAGAAGGCACTCTGGAGGAGATGGTGGTTGGGTTGTAGTCCGATAACTTCTCCCTAAGTTTGTTTTTCATGTTTTTGTCTGTGAGTGGAGGAGGATATGTGATCTTATTCTTTAGAATACCTATGAAACGAAAGTACATGGGAATATTAGTATATATGTAATGTATAACACAGAGGCAACATAAAATCAAAATTTGACTGGTTGTTAATAAATATTAATGTTTTCTTAAAGAAAATGTTTGTTTATATTAAATTACATTTAAAACCCATACATTTTCTTTCACTTGACGTTCCTTTAAATAAAATTAACGTTAACTGAAATAAAATAAAATATATACATAAAAAAATATGAATTTCAGCTAGTTGCCAAGGTAACATTTCTAATTTTATTTTAACTTGAAGTAGTAAAATACCTAAAACTAAATAAACTAAAACTATTAAATAAAAAGTAATAAAAATATAGAATATATATATATATATATATATACACAGTGGTGTGAAAAAGTGTTGG